GTTTTGTCATGTTGGCCAGGCTGCTATCAAACTCCTGTCCTCAAGCAATCCACCCACCTCAGCCTCCCAAAGTGCTGGGATTACAGGCATGAGCCACCGTGCCCAGCCTTCCTATCACTTTTTACTTGTGAGGACTAAGCTCTGATTTTTTAATCTTACCTTAATTCCTATCTAAGGGGTCTGGGGAGTCATGCCCTACTAACCATAAATTCTCATCAGATGGATTTTATTTAACCCTGTATATCATGACTTACTTTCCCATCTGACTCTGGCATAACATGTGACAAAGAAGAAAGTCAAAATATTTTACCCCAAAACATGGATCTTTGCCACATTTTGAAATGGCCCTGCAAAGCTGTCCTTTGTGGGGGGAATATTTGCATCCATAAAGAATCTCAGCTGGCTGCAGTGGCTCATGCTTGTAATCTCAGCACTTTGGGAGGCTGAGGCAGGCAGATCAACTGAGGTCAGGAGTTCGAGACCAGCCTGGCCTACATGGTTAAATCTGTCTCTACCAAAAATACAAAAATTAGCCCGGAGTGGTAGCATGCACCTGTAATCCCAGCTACTTGGGAGGCTGAGGCAGGAGAATTGCTTGAACCCAGGAGGCAGAGGTTACAGTGCACCGAGACTGTGCCATTGCACTCCAGCTTGGGCAAAAAGATAGAAATTCCGTCTCAAAAATCATCATCATCATCATCATCTCTATTAACCTAGCTAGATCTTTTCTTCCTGGCCCTCCCAATCCTAAAGAGATTAACTAAGAGTCTGGCACCTTTTAAATATCTGAATAGGAAATCATTGTCATCTATTGTCTCTAAGGACAGCCACTCTAAGACTTCAAAAGAACCTTGGTCTCTACAATCTTTTATTTTAACCTGAACACTTCCATTCTATGGATCCCAGGTCTTTAGACAAACTCAAAAAATTGTCAACCAGAAAAAATGTTTAAATGTAAAATGTTTAAATTTGCCTGGAAGCCCCCCCCCCGCCCGCCCCGGCCTGGAAGCCTGCACCCCGCCCGCTTTAAGTTGCCCCACCTTTCTGGACCAAACCAAGATATTACTTAAATGTATTTGATGGATGTCTCATGCCTCCCTAAAATCTATAAAACCAAGCTGCACCCCGACCACCTTGGGCACATGTTCTCAGGACCTCCTGAGGGCTGTGTCATGGGCCATGGTCACTCATATTTGTCTCAGCATAAACATCTTCAAATATTTTAGAGTTTGACTCTTTTCGTCAACTCTTGCTAAAACCAAAACTCTTGGAGTCAGGGCTGTGTCCAGTGTGTTGTCAATTTCTGAAAGAAGGTGTTGATACGTGCATAGCAGGAGGAAGTGACCCTGACAACACAAAACTCCTAATCTGTGCGGGAAACCTGAAAGATGAACCTATATTAAATTTACACAAGGACAAACAAACTGTTCTTCAGTGGGGAGGCTGGGTCTGACACATTCTATGGCTGTGATGACTAGTTGTCGGTGGTTTACAGGCAAATACAACAGTATAGAGTGCTTTGCAGTAGCCTGTTTTCCCTCCAAGTCTAGCTCAGGAACTGCAGCATCAGTTCTAATTGAGTTGGCCTTGTAGGTATGGCTATAAGATCTTTATTTTATTTTATTTATTTTTTATTTTTATTTTTTTGAGACAGAGTTTCGCTCTTGTTGCCTAGGCTGGAGTGCAATGGCGCAATATTGGTTCACTGCAACCTCTGCCTCCCAGGTGCAAGCGATTCTCTTGTCTCAGCCTCCCAAGTAGCTGGGATTACAGGCATGCGCCACCACGCCCAGCTAATTTTGTATTTTTAGTAGAGATGGGGTTTCTCCACATTGGTCAGGCTGGTCTCAAACTCCTGACCTCAGGTAATCCGCCTGCCTCGGCCTCTCAAAGTGCTGGGATTATAGGCGTGAGCCACCGCCCCGGCCCAGCTTTGCGATCTTTATCAGTCTTTATCAGTTAATTAGCATTTACTTGCATATGAGAGTACAGAAATAAAGCAGAAACAGGAATTGTTTAACAAATTTAAGTGGCAGGAGATTGAAATGGCAAACTCTGGGGAAGGTATGTTTTGTTTTCTTTTCCTTGGGTAAAGTAGCTTGGCTGGAAGGTAACAAAGAGGTCAGGGCAAGATATCTGCCCTTGAGCAAGCCAACTGGGAAAATGATTTCAGTGATGATTTCAGTGATTTATGGATTGTCTAAGATACATGGAGAGTTCAACTGTGGAAAATATGTGACATGCTGTCACTGAGTAGCGGGTGGCCAATGTCCTTCCACTGGCATCTCCACCTTGGTTCACCCAGAATTGTGCTATTTCCCGCCCCAGGGTGCCTCACAACTTTAGAAGTCTGGGAAGGGTACTATGAAAGTAAGCAGTGTAGGGCTGGGCGTGGTGGCTCCTGCCTGTAATCCCAGCACTTTGGGAGGCTGAGGCAGGAGGATCACAAGGTCAGGAGATCGAGACCATCCTGGCCAAGATGGTGAAACCCCATCTCTACTAAAAATACAAAAACTAGCTGGGCCTGGTAGCACGTGCCTGTAGTACCGGCTACTCGGGAGGCTGAGGCAGGAGAATCGCTTGAACCCGGGAGGCGGAGGTTGCAGTGAGCCGAGATCGTGCCACTGCACTCCAGCCTGGCAACAGAACAAGACTTCGTCTCCAAAAAAAAAAAAGTAAGCAGTGTTGAAATCTAAAGGATATTTGAATTTTAAACATTAATTACATGGTATAATGGCATTTTCTGTTTATAAGAAAAGATATAAAAACTTACAATGTGAATCACGGAGACTGGTGAAAATTCCAGGAGTGATGTGATAGGAATTAATCTGGAAGACAGGATGGTTTCTTTTTATAGAAGGCATTAAATGTGAGCTTGAGCAGTTTGGACTTTATCCTGCAGTCGATGAAAGCCATCACAAGTTCTTGAAGAGGAAAAAGGGATAATGTAACTTTTAAGATGCTTTGGTTGTCACTAAAAGATGAGTAAGAGAAGTAAAATACAGGAGATAGGGTGACCATTACGGCTAAGGAGCTACCCTAACGGCAATATCTCTTTAATTTCTATGATAAAATCTTATTTATGGACAAAGTTATGAAATAAGGCAGACTCAGTTAACGCCTCTTCTCTCTCTGCCTCCGAGTACCAAACCTTAAATTGCTTCTGTTACCCTTTGGTTCTTGCTATTCCTGTTTGATAAATGATACCAGTGCTACAAGTATCTAGACTTTTCTTTAATCCGACTTTGTGTATCAAACTTGCCTATACAGGATCTCTCTTGTGTGCTCTTCTCTTACACTATAGTTAGGACCTGCTCTCCCCTCCAATATTAATACTAATTACCGTAAATGATAAAGTTGAGTACTATCCTCTCTCTCCCAAAGAGTTGTAACTTCAAACTCAGTAAATACCTAAGTTGATAAATGCAAATCCAATTCAGTGAGAACAGAAGTTGATTAAAAGGATGGGTATGGTGGCTCACATCTGTAATCCTAGTACTTTGGAAGGCCAAGGCGGGTGGATTACCTGAGGTCAGGCGTTCAAGACCAGCCTGGCCAACATGGTGAAACTCCCGTCTCTACTGAAAATATAAAATTAGCCAGGCGTGGAGGCGCTTGCCTGTAATTCCAGCTACTTGCTCGCCTGTAATCCCAGCTACTTGGGAGGCTGAGGCAGGAGAATCACTTGAATCTGGGAGGTGGAAGTTGCAATGAGCTGAGATTGCACCACTGCACTCCAGCCTGGGCAAAAAGAGCAAAAATGTATCTCAAAAAAAAAAAAAAAAAAAAAAAAACTCCTGACCTCAGGTGATCTGCCTGCCTCACCCTCCCAAAATGCTGGGATTACAGGCATGAGCCACTGTGCCTAGATCCTTTTATTTTTTAATTTATGTTTTATTTTTTAAAATTAAATCTATGTATCCTTACAGATTGAAAATTCAAACAGCCCCGCAAGGCTTGTGGAGAAAAATAGCACCTTCCCACCACACACATATTTTCTACTCCCTACTTTTTAGCTGGTATTTTTAGGCCTACAGTTCTTCAAATACTATACATATGTTGCTATTCTTGATTTTTATTTTTGGTTTGGAAACCATCTATTGACTTGCCATTATAAAAGATGAAAATGAGGCTCTTTTTTTACCACCACCTCCACCTTTGCTAGCATCACACATCTGAATACTTCTCATGCCCTCCTATCATCCAAATATGATATCTTAATTTTGATTAGATCAGTATAATTAGAAACAAGAAAGGGAGCATTAATGGTTAAGAGCCTGAAACTGGGCTTTAAGGGTAAAAATTGTAGCTCTGCTCTTTACTCCCTGTCCAATCTTGCTGTAGTCACCTAATCTTTCTAGCTTCAATTTCCTCAACTGTAAAATGATGAAAAATGAGTACACCTACATTATATTATATGAGGACTATGGGAGTTGATATATATATTCATATATAATAACATATTTAAAACATGCACATTAATATACTAATATGTATTAATCACTTTCATTATCTTATAGATTATCTTTCATCTCTCATCATCTCTTTCTAAAAGGAAAATTATGCTTCCTTAATCCCACATCTTTTTCTTTCTTGGTTTATTTTCTCATTGTGGGGGTTCTTACTGAAAACAAGAACATTAAAAGTAAATTTTGGGGACTGGGCAAGGTGGCTCACGCCTGTAATCCTAACACTTTGGGAGGCAGAGGCGGGTGGATCACCTGAGGTCAGGAGTTTGAAACCAACCTGGCCAACATGGTGAAACCCCGTCTCTATTAAAAATACAAAAAAATTAGCCAGTGTGGTGGCACATGCCTGTAATTCCTGCTACTTGGGAGGCTGAGGCAGGAGAATTGCTTGAACTCAGGAGGTGGAGGTTGCAGTGAGCCAAAATCGTGCCATTGCACTCCAGCCTGGGCGACAGAGCGAGACCCAGTCTCAAAAAAAAGGTGAATTTTGGGAGAGTTTCCATGTCTAAGAATGTCTTGAGCTTCCCCCACACTTAAACAATACTATAGCTTGTTATAAAATTCTCGGAAGAAAATAATTTCCCTTAAAAATTAAAGGCATAGGTCTTTAAATAAAAGCTGATCTCCTTCTCTTCTGTCATCTCTCTGAGACTCCTATTATTTGAATGGCGAATTTCTAATATTTCACCTCTTTAAACAAATCTGACCTCCCTCCCCTGTTGCTTCTCTGTGATTCCTCGTATTTGAATGTGGGACTTCTAATTTCCCTTCCCTGCCCCCTTTTCTTTTTTTTCTTTGGTCTTACTGCTTTAGTTTCTAGGACATTTCCTTTAACTTTCTTCTAATATTTCTCCTGAATTTTTTCTTCTCATACTTTCAATTTTTAAGATTTTTTTTCTCTAAATGTTATTTGGCTGCAGCTGTTTTTGTTTCATGGAAGCAATCTTTCCTCTTCTTTTTCCGAGGATGTTAATGATACAATCTTTTGGTGTTTCTATCTCCCTGAGTAATCTTTAATTTTCTTCAAATTGTTTTTCTCTTACTGAGTCATATTGGACCTTTCCTTCAAATCCCTAGAGATTTTTGACTACTTGCTGTCTTCTTATATTTGAAAGCAGGATGCTACAAAAGCTCATTTGAAATTCTGCATGCACAGCCCGGTGCGGTAGCTCACGCCTGTAATCCCAGCACTTTGGGAGGCCGAGGCGGGCAGATCACTTGAGGTCAGGAGTTGGAGACCAACCTGGTCAACATGGTGAGACCCTGTCTCTACTAAAAATACAAAAATTAGCTGGGCGTGGTGGTGAGCTCCTGTAATCCCAGCTACTCGGGAGGCTGGGGCACAAGAATCGCTTGAACCGGGGAGGCAGAGGTTGCAGTGAGCCGAGATCGCGCCACTGCACTCCAGCCTGGATGATAGAGTGATACTCTGTCTCAAAAAAAAAAAAGAAAGAAAGAAAGAAAGAAAGAAAGAAAGAAAGAAACTCTACATGCATGCAAACAATCTTGTAGAATTCTACATGCATCCAACCATGGTCTTCTACTGGGCAGGTTGTCGGCTGGGTTGAGTAACTGGAACAGACTCGAAGGAAGAAGGTTGGGGATTTAGGAGTCAGTATGGAAGTCCTCACTTAATATTCCTGTTTTCAGTACGCTGTCTTCTACGAAGCCCTTTTCCTCTAGCTTTTCCAATTCATAGACTCTTTGTTTCTTCTCTATAAAGAATAAATCTCAAGACTATACGGGGATGGGAGAGAAGAAATTACATGGCTATATAGGGCTAAGGAGATAACTTGGTAGTAAAAATGCCTGTGCCTTTCTAAATCATCTAATGAGTAGGCTACTTTAGACTTTTTTTACTGCCAACTTCAGATTCCGTTCCTTAAGTCTACTTTGTAAGTTATTTATCATTTGTTAGCCTTCTTTCTAGAGTTTAAAATTGATTCCTACTTCCCCCTTTTCTCTGATGTAGTGAGGTAGTTTTTTTTTTTTTTTTTTTTTTTTGAGACGGAGTCTCGCTCTGCCGCCCAGGCTGGAGTGCAGTGGCCGGATCTCAGCTCACTGCAAGCTCCGCCTCCCGGGTTCACGCCATTCTCCTGCCTCAGCCTCCCGAGTAGCTGGGACTACAGGCGCCCGCCACCTCGCCCGGCTAGTTTTCTGTATTTTTTAGTAGAGACAGGGTTTCACCGTGTCGGCCAGGATGGTCTCGATCTCCTGACCTCGTGATCCGCCCGTCTGGGCCTCCCAAAGTGCTGGGATTACAGGCTTGAGCCACCGCGCCCGGCCAGTGAGGTAGTTTGTTTGTTTGTTTGTTTTGAGATGGAGTCTTACTCTGTCACCCAGGTTGGAGTGCAGTGGTGTGATCTCAGCTCACTGCAACCTCTGCCTCCTGGGTTCAAGCGATTCTCCTGCCTTAGCCTCCCTAATAGCTGGGACTACAAGCACACGCCACCATGCCTGGGTAATTTTCGTATTTTTAGTAGAGGTGGGGTTTCACTATGTTGGCCAGGCTGGTCTTGAACTTCTGACCTCAGGTGATCTGCCAGCCTCAGCCACTCAGAGTGCCAGGAGTACAGGCATGAGCCACCACGCCTGGCCTGATTTTGTGAGTTTTTTACTTCCTTTTTTCTTTACAGTCTATCTTTATTTCCTAGAGCTGCTGTAACATAGCACCACAAACTAGATGGCTCAAACAACAGAAATGTATTGTCTCACTGTTCCAGAGGCTGAAAGGCTGATATTAAAGTGTCAGCAGAGTGAGGTTCTTCTGAGGACTGGGAGGAAGAATCTGTTCCATGCCTGTCTCCCAGCTTCTAGTATCCTCAGGTGTTCTTTGGGTTGTGGATGACGTTCTTCCTGTGTCTTCACATCCTCTTTCCTTTATTCATGCCTGTTTCTGTGTCCAAATTTCCCCCCTTTTATAAGAACACCAGTCATATTGACTACAATCCACTCGAAAGATCTATTCTTAATTTAATCATCTGCAAAGACCTTGTTTCCAAATGAGGACACAGTCACTGATAATGGAAGTTAAAGCTTCCACATCTTTTTGGACGACACAATTCAACCCATTACACAGTTGTTTTAGCGCCGCCTCAGGAGACAGCAAAGCCAAAAATACCTTTTCATTCCACCGTCTTAAATTAGAAGTCGATCCTTTGCTCCTTTCATGATGCTATATTGCGTATTTTGAGTCTTTGTGTCATGAGTTATCCAAGGCCCTGACAACATAAAAACAATATATGCTGTTTTTGCATTCTTTTATGAGGTAGTCAGTCAGGGAGGACACAAAAGGAGACAGAGGAGACTCAGGAAAACATTTTCTGACAAGTAATTTTTGTTTACTTGTGAGTAACAAAGTTTACTCACAAGTTGCAGAAACAGCAGTCACAGCATGCCATACAGGTCACACATCAGAAAGACACCAGGGAGGTCAGGGGAAAGAAGACA